GGCATCCTGTGGTTAATAAATGTTTCAAAGTGTTTATGAGCCAGACGGGATTTCATCTCTCTGTTTCCCAGGGAACAAATCAGGGGTATGGCCTGTGGGAAGGAGTGTAGTTACCAATAGAAAAAAAAAAAAAATGCAGTTGTAACAAATCGAAAGAAAAATCAAAGGGCGAATGAAATATGGCTTGCTGTTAAAAATCATGGAAAATAAAAGAAACCGCCCGCAAATAATACTCGGTCCCTCCAGCTATAAAAATAACTTTCATAAAACTGAAGTTAGTTTGCCTAAATGTTAAATTATACAAAGATTTTAGCATAATATAATTTAAGGTTTTTACCTTGACAGTCTGTAAAATTATGCAAAAATCAGTATTATTTAAGTCTGCATCTTAAATTATGATTGAAAAAGTTGCACACTGATTGCAGAATAGTTACAAATATACATAACAGAGACTGCCAGCTTAATCTCTGCATCAGCAGAGACAGAGAGACTGAGGGAGAATGAGACGAGTGACAGTGCAAAAAGTCACGCGAGGGGTTCCACTTATTTACACAAATCTAAGGGAGATGGACAGAGTGACATACTATATATATATATATATATACACACACACATTTTTATTTATTTAATTTTTTGCGATACGCGGGCCTCTCACTGTTGTGGCCTCTCCCTTTGCGGAGCACAGGCTCCGGACGTGCAGGCTCAGCGGCCATGGCTCACGGGTCCAGCCGCTCCGCATCATGTGGGATCTTCCCGGACCGCGGCACGAACCCGTGTCCCCCACATTGGCAGGCGGACTCTCAACCACTGCGCCACCAGGAAAGCCCCATACAATATATTTAACAACTGGTATGGCACGGCCTTAGACTAAATTGTTGTAAACCATAAATCAACAAGAAGACCTTGTGGGGTCTTCTACCAGGCAGTGGGCACCCTCGCCCTCTCAACTCTTGATTTGACCTGGCAAGGCTGGAGCTCTCTTTGGTGTGGAACAGGACCAATCTGCATTGCATAAGTTGCTCAGGGATGCTGACTCCCATTTACTCAAGTCAGCAAGATATGGACTTTGGTTTCTATTTGTTTTGGCCAAATTCTGTAGACAAAAAAAGGACAATGTAGGACTAGAAGATAAATCTACTGGGGGGGGAGAAGGAGTCTGGTGTGGTTCAATAAAAAGGCTCATGTGTTGATGGAAAAGGGCTGGTCAGGCCACAGTAAGTAGCTACAGATGGAGTCCTCTCTTAACCCAGGCCCCACATCAAGGATCCCTGCCCGATCCCCCTGCCTCTCTCATAAGGATGATCCCAGCAATGCTGGGTGGTTTCCGACTTTGGAACGTAGGACTACACAGAGCAGATGTTCCCACGGGCACCACTGTGAAGACAGAGTCCCATGTGTCAGTACATGGCTTTGTGCTGTGCAGTGTTTGTGTGCTCTTTGTGGGTGTCTGTCAACCCCTCCTCCCGGAAAGTGCATTTCCTCAGGGACTGGGTCATGATTTTGCTCCAGCTTCCTCCATTCAATCTGCCCCTGTCTACACATGAGCAGAAATCTCTTTGGATTTCTACATTTAAGAGCATGAATTTTTAGGGCTTCTGTAGATTTTCCCCTAATTGAGGAATTTCTATGAACACTGATGGAAGTTTTGTAAAACTGTTTCTACTTTCAAACAGCTATTACATACGTCATTTCGTTTTATTTGAAAGTTCAAAAGGAACAACCAAAATGAAACAAATGGCTGACCCTTGATAGCAGTTTTAGTAGAAACGTTTCTGTTTTACACTTGGACAGCTATCAAATTGGGGCCTAATTACTTTACAGTTTTCAACAGGTGGTTCTTAATGGCAAGGCAGTTATCACACATTCAATAAGAAAAGGAGCTAACTAGGTGGACTTGGATGTTTGATTATCTATTTAAGCGTGTAATTGCATTTTTCAATATAATTAGCAATAAAATTGAATGTGTAAATTAATAGATGTGTTTCCCCACTTAAGTAATTGTAATTCAATGCAATACTTTAGATTAGGGGCATTATTTCTCAATTGATGGCAATATAATTTCATGATCATTGTTTTTCTTAATATTTTTTCTGATAAGAACAAAATATATGTAATCAAAAGACTGTTTTAATAAACTGAGATGCCACGTTAAGTGTAATTATATTTTGATTAATTTAGATAAAATTTATGGAAGATTAATACTCGAATAGTCTAATTAAAAGAATAATGGGAGTTCACTGGAGGTCCAGTGGTTAGGACTTGGTGCTTTCACTGCTGAGGGCCTGGGTTCAATCCCTGGTTGGGGAACTAAGATCCCGCAAGCCGTGAGGTGTGGGCAAAAAAAAAAAAAAAATTTGAAGAATAAAATCAAACTCCTTACCATGCTATTGAGAATTAACCCTAGCATTTTTCTAGGGCTATATAATAAACTGATATAAAAAAAGGGATTGTGAAACATTTTATTTAACTATTGGTCAACCTATAGCTATTATTTTTCACAAATTTTGATATAGATGAATTCAGTTAAATCCTAAATTTTTTTAAAAGAAATGAAGAACAAGATTTAGCATTACTATAAAATAGCATTTTTTCTTCCTAAATGGTAATTTTCAGTGTAAAATTAAACTATTTTTTACATGTTTAAGAAGCTATACTATTTTTCAGGTGTAAATAATCCTATAGAAAACAGGTCAATATAATACCTCTTTCCAGTTACCATTATTTCATTGAACATGCATTCAATACAGTACATAATTGACACATAACTTATACATTTGGGACTGTCTCCTGGGGGTTATAAATTCCTTCCTCAAATCAACACATGGCAGTGTCTTTCTCGAAGGGAATAATGCCGTAAAACGTTTCCTCTAAGCCTGTCTTCTTTCTTTCTCTCTCTCTCACTCTGTCTCTGTCTCTGTCTCTCTCCTTCCTCCCCTGCCTCCTCTCCTCTCCTCTCCCTGGCTCTCTCCTTCCCTGGCTTTAGAGAAGCAAGATGCATGGATCCCAGAGCCAGGAAATTAATTCTGTCAACAAGTTGAGAGAGCTTAGGAGCAGCTCCTTCCTCAATTGAGCCTCTGAGGAGAACCCAGCACTGGCCAATCCCTTGATTGAAGACTTGATAGACCTAAAACAGAGGACCTATCTAGGTCATGTCTGGATCTCTGATCCGTGGAAAATGTGATATAATAAACACGGATTGTTTTAAGCCCCATGTTTGGCAACTTGTTACACAGCCGTAGATAACTGATACAGATAGGGCCCAGCAGGTCAGGCTTGCCTCCACTCTGCTCCCATGGGACTTCCTTATCCAACCATTATATTGGGCTGGCCAAAGGGTTCATTTGGTTTTTTCCATAAGATGACTCTAGTAAGTGCTTAGTTGTCTTTAACTTCATTAGAAACAATTTTGTTAGATTGTATTGTGACAGCTGTCATATCAGAGTGCATTAAAAAAAAAACTTATCAAAATTGGTGAATTTTTGTGTAGCCAATTTGATATTGAAGATGGAAGAAAAAAGCAACATTTTTGGCATATTACAATTTATTATTTCAAGAAAGGTAAAAACGCAACTGTAATGCAAAAAAAATGATTTGTGCAGTGTATGGAGAAGGTGCTGTGACTGATCGAACGTGTCAAAAGTGGTTTGTGAAGTTTCGTGCTCGAGATTTCTGGCTGGACGATGCTCCAAGGTTGGGTAGAGCAGTTGAAGTTGATAGTGATCAAATCAAGACATTAATTGAGAACAATCAATGTTATACCGCACGGAAGATAGCTGACATACTCAAAATATCCAAATCAATTGTTGAAAATCACTTGCACCAGCTTGGTTATGTTAATTGCTTTGATGTTTGGGTTCCATGTAAGTTAAGCAAAAAAAACCTTCTTGACCATATTTCTGCATGTGATTCTCTACTTAAACGTAACAAAAAAGTTCCATTTTTAAAACAAATTGTGACAGGCGATGAAAAGTGGATACTGTACAACAGTGTGGAACGGAAGAGGTCGTGGGGCAAGCAAAATGAACCACCACCAACCACACCAAAGGCCCGTCTTCATCCAAAGAAGGTGATGTTGTGTACATGGTGGGATTGGAAGGGAGTCCTCTATTATGAGCTCCTTCCGGAAAACCAAACAATTCCAACAAGTATTGCTCCCAGTCAGACCAACTGAAAGCGGCACTCAATGAAAAGCATCCAGAATTAGTCAACAGAAAACGCACAATCTTCCATCAGGATAACACAAGACTACATGTTTCTTGGATGACCAGGCAAAAACTGTTATAGCATGGCTGGGAAGTTCTGATTCATCTGCCATATTCACCAGACATTGCACCTTCGGATTTACATTTATTTTGGTCTTTACAAAATTCTCTTAATGGAAAAAATTTCAGTTCCCTGTAAGACTGTAAAAGGCACCTGGAACAGTTCTTTGCTCAAAAAGATAAAAAGTTTTGGGAAGACGGGCTTCCCTGGTGGTGCAGTGGTTGAGAGTCTGTCTGCCAATGCAGGGGACACGGGTTCGTGCCCTGGTCTGGGAGGATCCCACATGTCGCGGAGCGGCTGGGCCCGTGAGTCATGGCCGCTGAGCCTGTGCGTCCCGAGCCTGTGCTCCGCGACGGTGAGAGGCCCGCGTACAGCAAAAAAAAAAAAAAAAAAAAAAAAGTTTTGGGAAGATGGAATTATGAAGTTGCCTGAAAAACGGCAGAAGGTAGTGGAACAAAACGGTGAATACGTTGTTCAATAAAGTTCTTCGTGAAAATGAAAAATGTGCCTTTTATTTTTACTTTAAAACCGAAGGAACTTTTTGGCCAACCCAATAAATTTACAACTAGTGCAACTCTTTGCTTATTCTTGAGGATAAGATCTTTGTTTAGCAACTAGAGGGCTGACATTGTTATCTACGTTCCTATAGTCTTCAGCTGCCTTCAAGTTGCCTGCATTGGTTATTCCATTAAAGTGCCAGCCCTTGATGAAAGCACACACCACAGTTCCATTCTCACCTTTTTGTCGCTGAGGATGATGACACAGTAGCCGGTGTGCATGCCAAAGGGGAGAAAGAAGACCTCCAGGCTTGAAGTCCCTTTCGCCCCCAGGTGAAGAGTATGTGTAGAGCAGAAGAACTCTTTGATGAAATTGGACTTAATTACTGCCAAAACATGAAGTAGGGCTTGTTTACGTATCATTTCATAAGTGCTGTTCAAATAAAGCAGCTGTTTCAATTAGTGATTAGAGTTTGGGGATGAATTTTTAAAATGTTCAAAGCATTAGCACACAAAATTAGATGATGCATTTGTTAATGAAAGTATGGGGGATCCCAGCCCAAGCTTGACATAATAAAAATGTGTAATTATGACCCTCTATTAAAGATTCCTTAAAAAACAAAAGGAACTTCACTAGTGTTTAAAATTAGCCTAGATATACATATAAAACTAAATAGCAAAGAGATCATTCCAGAATCTTCAGCTTTTTTGTGGACTATGCAATGATTCAAATTACAGGGTGTAACAGACAACTTAAACTGGAAATAAAGGACTGTTTATAGTTTTATCTTTTTGTTGGCTTTTAAAACATATCCACAAACTCCTCAATACTGTCTCTCTCCCCCGTTGCGGAGCACAGGCTCCGGACGCGCAGGCCCAGCAGCCATGGCTCACGGGCCCAGCCGCTCCGCGGCATGTGGGATCCTCCCGGACCGGGGCACGAACCCGTGTCCCCTGCATCGGCAGGCGGACTCCCAACCACTGCGCCACCAGGGAAGCCCCCTCAATACTGTCTTGAATGTGGAGATACGGTGGGCCAGTCTTAGTGACCTGATCCTAACGGAGAGTATGCTAGAATGCAGCAAAATCAAGCAGTATGACTTCTGACACTAGATCAGAAAATGTAATACAACTTCTTCCTAATCATCTCTCCTTCCTGGTTCACTTGCTTTTAGAACCAAGTTGCCATCCTGTGAAGAAGCCAAGGCCACATAGACAGGCTGCATATAAGCGTCCAAGACAACAGCCCCACCCTCGATCTGACAGCAGCTGCCTGAGAGACCCTGAGCAAGAGTCACCTAGCTGAGGCCAGTCACCCCCGAAGTGTGAGAGATAATAATATAAGGCATTTTTGTTATTTAATACCACTACATTTGAGGTGATTTGTTCTGTAGCTAGAGATCACCAGAACATCCCCATATCCATTTTCCTATCCATCATTCTATCTACATTTTCTAAATCTATAGTTATTTCATAAAACAAAGTAAATCTGTCTTCTGCTTAACATTTTAAACATGGTGAGACCTGTCACCTAAATAGGTTTAAACAGTTCAGAATAAGCCAAAGGAAACATAAAGGTCCCTTATTGAAATACATTCATTGTACAGGCGAGGAAACTAAAACTCAGCAGTGAAAGGCAAGATGTGGACAGAGTTTTCCAAAGGGTCATGGTGCAGAAAAAGCTGAGGACCAACACCTCGGGCTCCCATGTGGCTAGCAATCCCCAGGGCTTACCGTTCTGTCTACAGTCGCATTTACTGACTATTTCATTTCATATTATGCTCTCTATATGCAAAAAGATAAAAGCTTTTATTTGCAGCACTCACAGGTTTTTAAGGCATCTGGGGCCTGGGAACAGCCCTCAGCAACATCATGTTCACTGCTACTCACAGCACCGCTGTCATAAGGGAACAGGAAGACAACATCAACAGCACAAACAAGACTCAAAAACAATATTCTATCTTAATTCAATCTTTTACACATCCTTAAAAATTATGGCTACCTACAATATGATATGCAAAGACCACAGATGTATTTCCAAGATCATTTTTACATTTATATTGTGTTAGAAATTTTAAAAATAAGAAAAATCATTTATATCTTCACCATTGCTTTTTAAAAAATTTGGTAAAAACAATTCCTTTTTACTTGCAAATACTGTAGAGAAGTAAACAGTTGATAATAATAATAAAAACCCAAATCCTCAGACTCCAAAGGAGGGTGTCTCAACTTAGGACTACATAGGCAGTCTCTCCAAAAATGGTTCTAGAACCTGATTTCTTGAAAAATTCTCTTCTCTAAGCTAACTGTTCCCACATTTGTTTCTTTCTCATAAAGGTAGAAGGAGACTTGGGCAGCTGTTTAATCTCTTGTTGCACTTCTGAAAATTAGCTAATCACAGTCTGAAGCAAGGGCCTCCCTTGGAAGGTTCCATGTCTTCCAGAACCCATCAATTTTCTCCAAATTGCTCCTCTTGGTATACATGATTATTTTGCTGTCAATTAGGACCTAGGCTCTAAGACACTGTTTGCCTGATTTTTTTCTGAGAATATAAAAATCCCGTATTTTCTCACCTTGCCAGCTGATTTGTTTGAGTTTGATGCTGTAAAAACATACTATTTCTAAGTAATGTTCTTCCAACCATATCCATTCCTTTTCTCCAAACACTGTCTATTCTTTACACCACATTCTTAATAAGGTTATTTACCACCTCTTGTCATTATTCTGTGCTTTACTTCTACTCACAGGCATTCTATTGGTTTCAGTAATTCCCTTTTTTAAAAAGAACATTTAATACTCTTATGTCATTTGAGCATTTGATAGATCCCTAAAGGCTATGATAGACATAGTAGATGGATATTTTAGCATTTATAAGAGAGACAATACAAAGAGTGGAAAGAAAAACAAAGAATGCTTATTTCTCAATGTACCGCTCTGATGCCATCTCTTTGATAATGGAACTCTGGGTAGAATGCCTGATTAAAATGCTCAGATAATCTCCAAACCTCATTTTGTTCAATACTTGCAATCACTAGACCTTCAGTCATTTTTGTTTTTTCATAGTGAATAGAAAAGCAGAACAATTTGGGCTTCGTCTCCTTTTTCTTTTCTTTACCTATTTTGTTGGAGAACAGCTAATGAAAGTGCCTTTTTGAATAAATCAGAGTTGCCTTATCCTCAAAGGAAAGTCTCAAACCCAGAAAAATTGAGTTACCTGTACTATTTATGATAAAGACAAATAAAAATAATTTACAGATCTAAGAATTTGATTGACTTGCTCATAAAGCTAATGATTGTCATGATTAATTCAGAGACATCAGAAAATAATTTAATAAAATAATCTGGCTCAGGAAAATTCTAATTTACCTGATCAGTGTTCTTTACCCTAGAAATTTGATGACAAACCCAATTTGATTACAAAACCAGTATCTTGCATGTTCCAAAGACAGAAAAGAAAACAACTCACTTACCTTTTTGTTAATCCCCATACCTCAATCCATGCTATCACTTTCCCAAATGCTCATTGATTATTGTTGAAGCTAAGGCAGAGGGAGAATTTCAAAGCCTTGGTCTTAAGGAAGAATAGCATCAAAAGAGGCTAAAATTATACAAAACACTGTAGATCAAGTAATGGAATATTTTCTGCTAATTTAGTAGTAGGCCAAAGTCAGGGAGTAGAACCTACTTATGAGGTGGGATGGGATGGCATTACTTTTTCCTCTGCAATAGTTGTAATACAGCTCTTTTCAAGCTAAAATAATCAAAACGATATTGAACTGATTCTAGTCAGGGCATGAATAAATCAGCTCCAAGAATGGCTTCCTTCTCAAGCTTCTCCAACAGGGAAGGAAGATCTTTATTATAAGCTTTCATACTTCTGGGTTAGCATTCAGGGCTGCATCCAAACCAAACAGCAAATGATCTTGTTCAAGTCTAGTTTTTATGCATCACAGGAAGGAATATAAGAGGATCAATTTTTAGATGCATTACATCCTCCATGTTTCCATGAGTTTGTCAAAATAGGGCCCCATGGCCATCTGGAGGGCTGTTAAAATGGAATGTTTGCTGCCTTTTGTACTACCTTGGCTCCTGAACAGTTGAGGAGTCTCTAAAGCAAGGGGTGCTAACCTGTGGTACAAGGACAGAGTGAATCTGTGAATTTAAATGGGGAAAAATTCACCTTTATGTCCACTAACTCTTAATAGCAATTTAAACCAACCCACAGTAGTAGTGGTTAACTATACTATGAATTGATCACCAAACAATCACAAATATGTATACATCACATTTCAGTTCTTGCACATATCTTGAGCTGTCATTTATTTCATTGCTACTTTTAGAGTATGGTAGTTAATCTCTACCAGTAGATCTTACTATGTATTGTGTTAATGAAGAAGTATATATTTTAACATATTACAATTTTTAAATATTTTGATAATCTACTAGACTATTACTTTCTTCTATGCTATGGACTGAACTGTGTCACCCTTAAATTCATACGTTGAAGCCTTAACTCCCAAAATGACTGCATTTGGAGAGAGGGCATATTGGAAGGGAATCAAGGTTAAATAACATCATAAGGGTGGGGTGCTAATAAGACAGAATTAGCATCCTTACAGAAAGAGACACCAGTGAGCTCAACCTCTCTCTCCATGTGTGCACAAAGAAGAGGTCATGTGAGCACACAGTGAGATGGCCACCACCCATAAGTCAAAAGAAGAGGCCTCAGAATGAAACCTAACTTGCTGGCACCTTGGACTTTTCAGTCTCCAGAACTGTGAGAAATAAATTTCTGTTGTTTAAGCCACCCAGTCTATGGTATCTTGTTATGGCATCCCAAGTAGATTAAGACACTCTGTAATCCTTGCATCTTATTTTATGTATTTATAAAACACTATTCTGTGAAGTAGAATAGGTTTCATAAGACTACCAAAGAGCTTGACAACATTAAAACCTCATATGAAACCCTAATCGAGAGCAAGAGGATCATGGCAGATTGTTACTCTTAGTATATACATCTGGTTTTTGATTCACTCTGCTTTCCTTACAGACTTGCCTAATTCTAACTGTTACTAATTATTCAGTGTAGCAGAATGAAATATTTTAAAATCATGGCTCTCCAGAACCCAGCTTTTTTTTTAAAACAAGACTCAGAAACATCTCTCTACCAGGGCCTTCTTTCATTTGGGTGGCTATTCTGGGCCAAGCTATACTGGGAACAATGACAAATGATGAAACCCCTCAGTTCACAGAGTATCCAGTCTGTCATGCAAAGTAGCTCTACAAGAAATAAGTACAAAGCAGAATGATAAACACTTCAATACCTCTTCAACTTGAATTCACACTTTCCTATGCTGACCCTATAGTCCACATTTATAAGCGTATGCCTTGTACTTCCCCTTGCCTGCCTGTCCCCCACTCCCCCAAATGCTTCTGCGATTCCCTCTTCCTATGATATTTCTATATTTGTAGGATATTTGTAGGAAAGTTCTGCCCCTGCTTTAGATTCTGGCCGTCAAGATCATACTCATATTTCAGATCCCAATTTGTATATGATAAAGGAGAACATGGTGTACACATGGAAAAAAGGTTACTAGGACCTCATTTTTCTCCTTCAATGTTTTATCTTTCACGAAGATCTCAAAAATATCTACATAGTGATATTCCTTGCCAATCAGCTCACAGAGCATACACACATATATATATATATTATTTTTTGGTATAACACATACTACTGAATGCATTCTGCCCTGTACAATTGCTTCCATTTGTGTAGATTTTTTCTTCTTCTCTGCTTGATGGTTGGCAACTTTAGGGCCAGGATCTGTGACTTATTTATCCCAATATTTCTCCAGTACTAAGAACAGTACTTAAGGTGCCACTTAGTAAAAATTTATTGAGTGATAAGTAATTCAAAATTGCTGGAAAAAATTGCAAGTCATATCACTGTAGGAAATTATTTACAAATTGCCCATTTCTGAGCACTGATGATCCATCACTCAATTTTAAAGTGCGGCTAAAATCAGTCTCCTATCCTGATCCTTTCTGATAATCCTTGGGATTTAATTAGAATAAAAACTTCTTAACTACTCTTGCTTATGCTCAGGGATCATGTTCACATAAAGTAAAATATGTGATGAACATAAAGTTTCCTCATCCATGTGGTTTCAACTGTGTTGTTTTATATGTATCTGTTGCTTAAGAAGACCAGTTTACAGAGACATTTTACATTTTTAAATAGGAGATCCTTTTTTATGCCATCTAAAAGATAATTTCAGCACTTTACGGCTCATTTGAGAAGAGGTTATTTATCATGTGGGGAGATATTAACAGAAGTGACTCTGAAGAGGAGTATCAGTTAGTATACGCTAGGTCATGCTACAGTAACAACTCCACATCTCAGTGGATTAACACAATAGTTTATTTCTTGCTCACACATGTAGTGATCTTTGGTGAAGGAGGCCTCCATTTCTAAATGTGCCTCTCTAATAACTGTGGCAGGGAGAGGGGACAAGAAAAATTGCTCACTGGGTCTTAAAGCTACCACCTGGAAAAAACAGTCAGCAGTTCTCACATGCCATTGGCCGATTGAGTTATGTGTTCATGGATAACTTCAACATTAGTGGGGAAGTGCAATATTACCATGTGCCTAAAAGAAGAAAACAAGGATATTTGTAACAAAGCTCTAAAAATAATCCAGTTAGCTTATGGAGATTTTAAAAAACATTTTCTTGTTCTCTTATGTTACCTTGATGATTAAACCTAGAGACCAGACCAGGGCTTTACTGAGATAATGTAATACTTATTATATCGTGTATTACATATGAAAGTTAATCATAGAGGTACTGCACCAGACTTCCATTCTGGTCATGACTGAAATGCATGTTCTTAAATTTTGTGTCTGGAAATCTGTTCAAGACAAACATTAAGGAGAGCTTTAATAAAAACAGGATGTGTCACATTATTAAGTATTGTTTTATTAAGATTATATTTAAAGATCAAAAGGCCTCATTATGCTGATGAAGCCAGATTGATGAAATATTAGATAATGTCGTGCTATTTGGAAGAAAAACACTCTTTTGTGCTCCCCTCACGGTGGAACTTGTTGGTTGCCTATCCCAATAACCCCTGGTCCTTCCCTCCTCCCTGACAAAACCCTCATTTTCTTTTGATGTGTATGTGGAGAAGGGCAGTTTCTCAGTCTTCCTTCCAGCTAGGGTTGGTTATCTGATTAAGATTGGATCAATGGCTACAAGCAGAAGTGCTATGTGGTATTTCTGGGAAGCTTCCCTAACAGAAAAAGGGTACACTCTTATCCTTTCTGCTGCCTATAAAGTGGACTTGATTGCTGGAGTTCTGGATACTTCAGCTGATCCTTGAGAAAATGAATAAAGGCTTGCCTGTTACATGAACCGGAGCCTGGAGGTGTTACACAGAAAGCAGTCAGGACCCTAGAAGAAGGAGCCACAGTAATGCTTCTAATAAATCTGTTCAGAATTGTCAGAAAAGCAAGCTTTTTGGTGAACTTGAGACTATTCTATCACAACTCAACATATGGATTTGGGGCTCAGTATTCAATCCATGTCAATGCTGAAATGACATACCAAGGACCAGCCCTTTTCCTTGAGGAACTGTGTGGCTTTCGCCTTTGTCTCACCCTTGCCTTTGATCTGGGAGACAGTCTTTAAAGAGGTGCACAGGAGTAAATCTGCGATCCTTTAAATTAACGGCTCTGAATTTTTCTTTGAGAGCTAATCTGCCAAAGCCTGACTACTCTATGTTCTCCCTGACCCAACACTCAATGTCACTGCATCTTTATGTTTCTTTCCTCACAGGAAGACTTGAGAGAAGAACTAAGACAGTACAGTATTATAAATACAAATGGAAGAGACTATATGAGAAATAATGATCAATAAAGTTTGAGACTGTGATAGACACACTTCTTAAGCGATACTTCACGCTGAATTGGGAATTATTTTGCATGAGTATTTCCAAAGTTTCCTTCCTTTCCTAAATTAAATTACAAATGCTTTCATACTTGTTGACTCTATTTTGTTTTTGATTTAAAAGGCATAACTTAAAAAGATATCTTTACCTGTAGTTTGAGATTCTATGGCTTCAATAATTCTGGAACTTTGGGTCTAACTAAAGCCATTTCAGAACATTGCATGAAGAAAAATCATATTAAAATCTGGATACAGAATTTCCATATTGTGTTCCAAATTATGAAGGTAGACTCATTATTCTTGCTCTTCATTAAACAGATCCATTTTGAGTTACTTCTGCTCACAGATACCTACAGCATTTCTTTGAGATTTGACTCTAGTTTAATTACGTGATACTATAAATTATTTGCAATTAATGTGAAGAAACTGTTTCAAAGCCATTCAGGCAAAATCTGTGACCACAAAGCAACTTCTTGATCAAGAAGCAAGGGACTGAAAAAAGAATCCAGGAGAACTGTTTACCGAAGTTTTTTTGCCAATACTAGCATTTCACACTACAAAGAAATTAACATAAATGCCTACAATACTGCATTCCTATGATATCTATAATGCTGCTTTATAGCTCAATGTATCAACACTGCCAAATCCTTGCCTCTTGCAATATTTTTGCAGCTAAAAGGATGACACTGATGCTGTCAAGCATTACACAGAGACAATGGTATAAAATAAACTAACAACACAGTAGTAACGGTCAAATGCACTTCTATAATAGAAACCTGCATTATTTTGTTTCTGCCTGACTTTCTTCAACCTTTATAACACTGTTTTATTCTACTTCACTTTAAATAGCTATTTTATAGTTTAAAACAGATGAGACATATGAGGCAATCTAACTTTAAAAAATTCTACTTTTCTATTGAGAAGTCAAAGTTCCTTTCTAAACTAAATACAGACTTCATAACATGGGTCAAATAAGCTTAAATACAGTCAATCCTCATTATCCACCAATTCCATTTTTGCAAATTCACCTCCTCACTAAAATTGATTTGTAACCCACAAATCAATACTCATGGCACTTTCAGAATTGTTCGCAGGCATGTGCAGAACGGTGGAAAGTTCCAGTAGCTGGTCACACAAGTTCCCAGCTGAGGTCAAATAAGGTGACACTGGGCTTTTCTATTTCAGTTTTCCAGCATAGATAAGCAGAGGATGGAGACAGTAGGGGGTAGTACACAAGTACAGAAGTGCAAGCCAAGGGACTTCCCTGGCAGCTCAGTGGTTAAGAATCCACGTGACAATGCAGGGGACACGGGTTCAATCCCTGGTCCAGGAAGATCCCACATGCCGCGGAGCAATTAAGCCCGTGTGCTACAACTACTGAGACTGCACTCTAGAGCCTGAGAGCCATGACTACTGAAGCCCATGCGCTAGAGCCTGTGCTCTGCAGCAAGAGAAGCCACTGAAATAAGAAAGCCCGCGCACCACAACAAAGAGTAGCCCCCGCTCACCGCAACTAAAGAAAAAGCCCGCGCACAGCAATGAAGACCCAACGCAGCCAAAAATAAAACAAATAAATAATAAATAAATTAAAAAAAAAAAAAAAAAAAGAAGCACAAAGCCGCTCTAGCTCTGAGGTCAGGAGGACAGGCTTTAAAACCTTTCTCTTATACCTGTTAGTGGGACTGCCTCAGGTAAGTCATTTAACACTTCTGAACTTCATTTTCTCTGTGTAAAGTAAAAAAAGTGGAATCTACCAGGATAGGTTGTTTTTAGGATTTACAATTATAATCTATGTGGTTAAATATACTTCTCCTCGGAGTAATGGTGCAATATTCACTAATTGAGTGTTTATGGCAACTTTATAGAAAATAACTACCATGAATAATGAGAATCCACTGCATTTAATAAAGTGCATATGTATTCAATTTTCATGCACATAAACCTAGAAATTTATAAAAAGAATAAGTGTGAATAATATAAATTATATATATAATATAAATTAAAGATTTCAAATAAATGAAAACTACTATGTAATTATATAACAAGTTTACTTGAATGCTAATTTCTCAGAAATTTGCCTCAGATAATTATGAGCATAAAATATATAGACATTTACCCATCATTCATGTGGTCAACAAATTCTCCAACTTCAGTTAATTGGGATGGCAAAGAGATAAATGTTGAGGATTCCACAAAAATGACACTAAAATAAATGAAAAAAGGATTATTTTGAATTCTACTGTAACATATTTCAGATGACCACAAAACATTCTTCTTTTAAATTATTTTCCATCATTCATAAACTATAATTAGAATCAGAATAAATTACAATTCAAAAAGTCCATGTGCTCTCATTCTGCAACTCAAAACGTATGCTAGAAAGAAAAGATCTGGAATGGAAATAGGTAAAAAATGCTATTTTTATACGGAAAGTCAACACTGAATTCTCATAACAAGGAAATTTAGAGCAAAAATGACCACCCAAATTATATTCCAGAAAGAAAGAGGAAATTACACACTGGTCTTAATACACTGTCATAGTTATATACATTTAATAATTTCTAATCCTATTTCCAGAAAAGAGAAACGTTTCTTTCAGGATTGGACATGAGATTTGGGTACCTAGTTAAATCAGTGCATTAATAACCATGCCATCATCTGGAATCACACAGAAATTCCGTCCTTCCTATATAATAATGCTCATTCCTTCAAGAAACAGTTTTGGAGACTCCATTGTGTGTTAGGTGTGGGACTAGGTACTGGAAAGTACAAACATGAATATGTTATCCTCTCAGCCCCTCACAATGTAGAGAAATGATACTCTAACGGCAGGTGAAAGATATCATGAAGAGTCATGTCAGGAATGCCTAATCCCTCCTGCAGAGTTGAACAGAATTTGTATAATATTGTTAAGAACAGATTTATCCAAACTTGATTTGTTAAAGGAAACCTTTTTTATTATGTAACAGTTATTAATATCTTACAATACTAGCTTTACAATGAAAAACACATCAGTAATAAAATTAATCAAATGTTTTAGTCTTAAAACACACACACATTCACAAATACACATATACAAACTAAACTGCAACACATTTATATATCCTAACATTTGAATGTTGACATCAGTTTTTGTCCTTTTGTTTTAACTTGATATTTCTGGTGCCTTCATATAAGGGTTGTAAGGAATTTTATAAATATTAAATAATAAAAAGTTTTAAACAGACAAAATTAACTGTAGTAAAATGTAAACTATGAACAATGCAAGCTATGTATCAAACTAGCAGATTTGCTTATATCACTGTAAAGTTACAGTTACGCAAATGTAGGAATAATTCCTCTCCAGAGAGCAATTTAAACATAAAATCATACACTAAATTCTCATTTAAATATCATAAAATTATGAGGCACAAAACATAATGTTTCCTTTTATTTCTATAAATCCATGGTGAATCATTGGGCAATTTATTTTGGTAATAATTTGTTCTGGCTAAAAAACAATCACACGGATAATATTACTTGACACACAAATAAAAAACTAAACCACTATAATATTAGATTTTTCATATACTATACATGTACCATTTTGAGATAAAATAGCATTCTGTATGCTTGTTTGAAAAGTCCCTGCTTAATTACAATGAACATGCTTTCCTCAAAATAGACATATTAATTGTAAAATGAAATATAAACTGTCATTAAAATGGAAAAAGATCCTGTTTCATTACTGCAGTTTCTAAATCAGTGGTTCTCATACTTCAATGCGCATTACTATTATCCGGAGTGCTTGTTCAAAATGCAGATTCCCAAGCTTCTATTTGCATGAATTCTGACTTAGTCTGGCATGGGTTCCATTTAAAACAAGATCTCCAGGTGTTTTTAAAATAGCCTGTCTATGGATTAAACTCTGAGTAATCTTGACTTAGACCAGCACTGCTCCAACATTAATGTACAAACAAATACTCTGGAGATGTTGTTAAACGCAGATTCTAACTCAATTGGATTGGAGTGGGCCTGAGAGTCTGTTTTTCTAATAAGCCCCCAGATGATGTTGATTTTGCTGACTCAAGGATGACATTTTGAGAAGCACGAGTATAATCTAAAACAAAAACAACCCAAATATTTTAAATAATAAAACCAGGCCACCAGAAAAAGAAAAGCAGGGAATGGTTTAGAACGACTATATATTCACTACTGTATAAAAGCAACAAAAACACTGGAAAAATTTGTCCAAATTAACTTTTTCAGAATTCTAGTTCACTAAAGAAAGGCTTGCAGCAATCTAAGTAGTGTTTATTCAAGAAAAGCTGCCAAACCTTGGCAAGAACAGTAGTTTGTGGCTTTGTAACTTTTATGTTGTAACTCTCCCTCCACCTTTCCATAGCTCTATAGTAGCCTTGAAAACTAACAGCCTTGCAACCAAGGTAGTTGTAAAAAATGCTCAGGCTTGCAGCCACAGGAGGGAACAGACTGAGACTGGAGCTCTTCAAAAAAGTCCCATCCATCCCTGATCATTGTTCCTGTGTAACCCATCTCACAGTACCCTCGAAGAGCTCAATATGCAAGGTGTTGTCTTTAATCAAACTGACTCAAAGAAAAACACCTATCCCCAAGATGTTAGTTGAAAACAATCAGTAGCAATTATGCCTGAGGCTGCAACAGCAACTGGATCAAATAAGAGCCTGACAAAGCATAAAAGGAAGATCTGGGGACAAGATGCCCATAGGCAGAGTCGCCATAGCTTAGTAGAGACCCAAAATATGTCAAAGACCTTCAACCCCACTTATGGAGACAATTAATAAAGAATATCAATAAAGAGATATTATACAAAAGAACTAATTATAAATTCTGGACTTAGAAAGTACAATACCTGAAATAAAAAAGCACTAGAGGGACTCAACTGCAGGTTTGAGGTGGCAAAAGGACCAGTACACTTGAAGATAGGTCAAGTAAAATGATTAATTCTAAAGAATGGAAAGAGAAAAGAATGAAGAAAAATTAACAGAGCCTCAGAGAACTGTGGGAAGCCTTCAAACAGACAAACATAAGCCTAATCAGAATCCTGAAAAGAGAAAAAGAGGCAGACAGAAAATGTGAAGAAATAAATGATGAAAACTTCCCAAATTTGATGAAAAATATTAATTTACACATCTAAGAAGTACAAAAAATTCTATGCAAGATAAACCCAAGGTGATCCATAGCTAGACAATAAGAGTCAAGTCACTGAAAGGCCCAGACACAGTAAGAAGCAGAACAAAATTGACTCAATACCTATGTTGCTCCTCGGTAAGATTAACAATAGAATTCCCATTTAAACCCTAAAGAACAGAATGCAATCAGATGATGTATATACAGTATGCTGAAAGAAGACTATCAATAAGGAATACTATATACAGCAAAACTATCCTTCATTAGGGAAAAATTAAGATATTACCAAACAAACAAAAAAATGAAAGAATTCATTGCTAACAGACCTACCCTACAAGAAATACTAGCAGAATTTCCTCAGGCTAAAGGAAAAGAACACTAGAAGTTAATTCTAAACCACATGATGAAATAAAAAGCATAGGTAAAGGTAACTACATAGGTAAATACATAAAACAAATAGGCTATAAATGCACTTTATTTGCAATCCTTTTTGTTCTCCTTTCTGATTTAAAATAAAATAGTGTGAGACAATAAATGTAAAACTGTTTTAAGGGCTTATAACTTATAAAGATGTAATGGGTATAACAATAATAGAACTAACAACAGGCTAGGAAAAGGAGATACACTGAAGCAAAGTTTCTGAATTATACTGAAATTAAATTGGTATCAATCTGAGCTAGATTATTTTATATTAGGGTGCTAATTATAATCTTCAGGATAACTACTGAGAAAAAAACTAAGAAAACATACAGTAAAAGAAACAAAAATTTTAAAAGGCACACTAAAAGTAAATATTTAAAACAAAATCAAGTAGTAATAAAGAAAGAGATGAACAAAGACACAGGACTTATAGGAAACAAGTATCAAAATGGCAGACATAAACCCTACTGTATCAGAGATTACATTAATTGTAAAGGGATTAACACTCTAATCAAAAGGCAGAGATTGACGAAATGGAAAAAATAGCTTAGAAAAAAGACAAACATTGGTTCAAAGACATAAACAGACTGGGAACAAAAGAATTAAACAAACCAACAAACAAAAACTACCACGCAAACAGTAAAAAAAAAAAGAGAACTGGAGTGACTATACTAATAACAGACAAAATAGAACTTAAAGCAAACATTGTTCCAGCATGACAGCATGAGAGCTCCATGGACTACTTACCAGGGAAATGAGTTAAAATATAAAAATCAACTATATAAACTCTCTGGAAATGATCTTGAGGGCATATAGCAAAAAAAAAAAAAAAAACCCAAAAAACAAAAAACACACACCTCTTCAGTAATATTTACTAAATTCAGTAAGAAAAGATGCAGTCTGTGGCACCTGAACCAAGAGCACTCTCTTCCTCCTCCTTCCTCACCCAATTAAGACATAAACTCTACTCCAGACAAGTACAGCTAAGAATATAGGGCTCATTCCTCCCCTACCTCCCAGATAAAGAACTATCTTTCTGAGAGATGTGTGACATCAACATTTCTCATCCTGCCCCAAGTACACATTGCTAAGGCTAAGTTCTGGGCAAATGCAGCTGAGAGGAGCCAAGGGGCTCCCTTCTTCTGCCCAGCACCAAATCATGGACCACAGGCTCTACATGGATGTGAAATTGCCATTGCCCTACCTTATAAAGTGGTGGATCTATGCTGGAAGAAGCAAGCCAGGAAGACCTGAAGCTACTGTCCCCCATCCCACCTAGCACTCAGCTCCTAATATGGGACTGATTCTCCAAGAAAAGTGTACCAGTGTCCCCAGTTCCACCAAGAGAGCTGTGGCTCAGAGATTTTGCCTAGAGGGAGAAGCTGACCTTAAAGCATATAGTTCTTAATCTCTTCACAAAGGAACTGATTCCATTTTCAAAAACGTGAAGATCAAGGGTGCCCTTAAAAATTGTGCAGGTGGAGCTTCCCTGGTGGTGCAGTGGTTAAGAATCCACCTGCCAATGCAGGCGACACGGGTTCGAGCCCTGGTCCAGGAAGATCCCACATGCCGCGGAGCAACTAAGCTCATGCGCCACAACTACTGAGCCTGCACTCTAGAACCCATGCTCCACAA